TAATTAAAAAACAAAAACAAAACAAAACAAAACCAAAATCAGAAAGCATTCCCTCTCTCAGCCTTCGTGAAGAGGTCTCAAGAAGTTCTTATGTCAAGCTGCACTGGTGAACTTTCCAGTATGAAGGGGCAGCCTTTGAGACCACTGCACTCTGGGCCATCTCTGCCCCCACTCAGCTTTTGGTCCCCCCTCCCCCCAGGATGAGCCCTAAGTCTCACCTATGCTCATGGCCTATTTAGTTTTCTGACCTGCAAAAATGGGGATGGGTACCAGCACCCACCTTGTAGGGTTGCGGGGAGAAGGAAGAGTTACCCACAGAGTTAAATGTTCGCTGTTACTATTCTGTGTTAGAAAAGCACGGATGTTCTCTGGCCAGGGAAACTATTTCTGGAACAGGAGGGAACTCTGAGGATCAACTATTCATTCCTTGCGCCACCAACAGCAAGAGCAGATACTTCGACAAGCCACAAAATGGACTTTCCTAAACCTGGGGACAACTCAAGAAAGATGGCAACACAGCTGCCTTCCACGTTTCAGTCCCTGCCCCCCAGGACCCCAGGCTCGCTCACCTGGGGGCAGGGACTGCTTCAGTTTCTCTGCCTTCTCCTTGTCCGTGATGACCAAGGTGTAAAGGTATCTGCTGCACCGCACTTTAAACTTCACATTATCCTTATTTTTCTTGATCTTGACGGCTACCAAAGAGACCAGAATTAGGAGTTAAATTATATCACAGAAGAGATGTCACGCAGTTCACCTGCTTTGTATTTATGTAGAAAAGTGGCACTTTTGGCTGCAACCATGGTCAGGGCTGTGCTTGCCTCCCTGTACCGTCTCCTCTGCAGAAAGAGAAAACCAGAAGCCCTCTAGGACTTCAATATTAAAAGTGTCAGAAACCTACATTTCTCTTACATTAATATGTCAGAGCCTAGGGTTTATTCATCTAAACTGGTTTACACATAAAAACAGATTATCTGATACATGGAACACATGCGAGAACATTCTGTAACCATCTTATTTTTTAAAGGGATAAAAGTAGCTCATCAAATAAGGAGATGGATTATCTGCTAGGATCAAGAACGTTCCACCTCTCTACTTCTGGGAATCAGTTCTCTGCCTCCCCAATGGTAGGGGCAATGGTAACTACTTTCTTCAGGGTCTGCCAGCCACCCGCCCCAGAGTTATGTGCTAAAGCTTTTCCTTAAATTTATGAAACCCATTTTCCGGGGTCTTTCCAACTGTCCAATTCTATCTCAGGACCACAGCTCAGACAACAGAGCCCCAAGTGTGACTCAAGCTCAGCAGTGCAAGGTCTGAAGTTTTGTTGGCGGCGGGACAAGCATCGTGCATTTCCATGGAGGACATTTTATGCATCCATCAAAACTCCTCATTCTAACTTTAAAAACAGGTCAGACACTCCCAAGAATTCATTATAAACACACTGAAGTGCCCATCCCGAGTCAGGTGGCCACACAGGGGCTCTAGCAGCTCAGCCAGAGCCCCTGACCAGACGGCTGGACACAAAGGCACTCAGCCCCACAGAAGCGGCGCCGAGATTCACTTGGACTTACAACCCCCAGCTCCCTCTCTGCCACTAACTCTAAGGAAAGGAGGCACATCACGGGACGCAGCACTTGAGCCTGCCCAAGGCAATGGCTGCCTTAGCTTATGTTGTTTTTTTTTATTTAAAGATTTTATTTATTTGACAGAGAGAGCACAAGCGGAGGGAGAGAGAGGGAGAAGCAGGCTCCCTGCTGAGCAAGGAGCCTGAAGTGGGACTCCATCCCAGGACCCCGGGATCATGACCTGAGCCGAAGGCAGCCGCTTAACCAACTGAGCCACCCAGGCATCCCAGCTTATGTTTTAATAAACCCAGCAAACTGGGTCTTCGTTCAAACCAACCTATTTTGCTATCTTAACATTCCTCTTAAAGCTGAGCATGCTGCATCGCCTAGCAGCTGCTGTGTGCCTATAAATTACGTGGGACAGTCCTAAAAGCTCTTAAAATGTTTATTCAATGCTGTCATCCTGTGCAGTCCTTCCACCTAAGGGCATAAACCCAAAGAACTGAGAGCAGAAACGAGAGATATCTGCACACCGGTGTTCAGGGCAACACGATTTGAAATAGCCAAAAAGGAGATACCACTCAGTGCCTACTGCTGGATGAACAAACTGTGGCAGATCCACACGACGGATTATTCAGCCTTAAAAGGAAATTTGGACAAATGCTACTGCATGGATGAACCCAGAAGACACTGTGCTAAATGAAGCAAGCCAGTCCCACAGGGACAAACACTGCTGATTTCATTTACAGGTTTCCAGAGCAGTCAGATCAATAAAGTAAGCAGAATGGTGGAAGCCAGGGATTGGAGGGAGAATGGTGGGTTAGTGTTTCTTGGGTATAGTTTTAGTTTTAGAGGATCACGAGTTCAGAAAATGCTGTGGGAAGGTCCCCAGTGCCAGCAAGCTGTACACTTAAAAATGAGGTTCTGGGGCGCCTGGGTGGCTCAGTCGTTAAGCATCTGCCTTCGGCTCAGGTCATGATCCCAGGGTCCTGGGATCGAGCCCCGCATCGGGCTCCCTGCTCTGCAGGAAGCCTGCTTCTCCCTCTTCTACTCCCCCTGCTTGTGTTCCTGCTCTTGCTATGTCTCTGTCAAATAAATAAAATCTTAAAAAAAAAAAAATGAGGTTCTGTTATGCATATTTCTAATTAAAAATATGTTTTAAAAGTTTACTCAACATACACTGAACACTCTGTGTCCAGGGGACCACATGGTCTAACATCAGGCTCCCGAATTCCAATGCAAACGAATCTGATGGACGGGGTGCCATTTCTTCATGGTACTAAGGAGCCCTGCACCAATCCCATGGGACAGATGTTATTACCAATCCCCCTTCAACGGAGGGAAAAGGTAGTGTCCTGTTTAATTTGTTGAGGACGGCTACTTCCTCACAGCGCTAGGATTTGAACCAGACAGTGACTCAAAGTCCCTGGCCTGAACGATGATGATCACAATAACCTCTCCTTACAGCACGACAGTGTACCAACAGTCCCCAGAAGCACCGGACAGAGCAGACACTCCCCCATTCCCACAGATGGCCACCATTTCAAACAGTCCCAGACAAACAGGACCCTCCCTTCCCCTGTGAACCCACTAAAACTCTCCCAGAGCTCCCGCCACCATGTCATCCTTCCATTGACAGAGCCTTAGAGTCTTGGCCACCTCAATCCGTCAGCAGAACACGGCTTACTTTCACAAACGATCTGATGTTCTCTTGAGAACACGTTTCGGAGGAGAAAGGAAGCTTTAAGCAGTATTTGATGAGGCAGAAAAATGAGGACTCTGGGCTACCCCCCCCCCGTATCTACCATGTAGGAAGCACAAGCCCCCACACCTCCCTCAACTCTAACAAAGGGGTACCAGCAGGACTCCCTCCCACACGGGGTGCACCAGTGAGAACACTCTGCACCAGGGGCTAGTACTTCACCCATCGAAAGCTTGCTGTTGTAGCCTTCTGATGCATCGTTCCCTTTTCCTTATTTATGGCCGCGGGAGACTAACTCCTACACGTGGAAAGTCAGACTACTTCCTGCAGCCCACTGTGCGGGGCCTGGACTCAGGCAGCAGTGGGCCCAGAACCCGACACGGGGCACCAAGGTCAGGGTTCTGAGACCCGCATTTCCAGACTTCCACCTGGTAAGGACTCTGCTCGGAACACACACCTCTTCTGAACTAAGGATGGTTTTTAAAATGCTCACAATTAGCCAAAGGGAACACACTGCCCAACGAAGTCTTCCTTCTGGGAAATAGGATAGAATCCCTGCTCCCGGGCAGCCAGGCATCCGCTTCAACAGCCTCCCTCGGTCTGACACCCCAGGGACCAACACTCCAGGGGACCGTCCAGCCTACCGTCCAGGGGAAGGTCTAGGGAGGGATCAGGGGAAGGTCTAGGGAGGGATCAGGG